TCTACCGGGTTACGATCGAGTCCGAGCTTCTTATTGTCACTGTTATTCACTGAAAGCTAAACGCCACTAATCAAGACCAAAAAAAGCCTACAGCATGCACACTTTTCGAAGATGTCCCGTAGTATTCGACGCTACGACCGTGGAGGTGAACTCGCTCGAATTCTTCTAAAGTTCGCCTACGGATCGATTCTTTAGAAAAGGAGTCCGCGAGGAGCATTCTCGAGGGGACGAAATAAAGTACGAACGAAAAGAACAGGGATACCTCGTGGCGGCATGTGTGAAAAGAAACGTTTCGAGGGATGCAATTAGACGAAACGTAACGAAGATAACTCTGTCCACGTTGAGTGTAAACGACTCGAGGTGTTGTTTGATAAAAAAAAAAGAAAAGAAAGAAATTAACAAGAAATCAATCGAACTAGCGGAGTAGAAACGCAAAAGGGAAGCTCGAACGATGCATGCCACGTAAATCGAGAACGCGAGATATGGACATTGAGAATTCGTCGTGTACTGATAAAGTAGAAAAGTTCTTCTTTATTTCCCAAGACAGAAACACAATGGATCGTCGAGGACTGTTTCGAGGAACAGTTCGAGAACACCCTGTCATGCGCGAAACGTAAATCGAGACCCTAACGACGGAGATGGGCGAAATTTGTTCAAAATCTATTCGAAATTTATTCGCGATGTTGTTAACAAACGAGTCTCCTTTAAATTTCATCTTTGATATATCTGCGATTAGAAATGTTTCTCCGGGTGGAAATTTCGCCCATCTCTTCCTTACGCAGAAACGAGAGAATGAGTTCTCGGGGAAGCTATCATCGATATCCTTTCACCTCGACAGTTCTCCATATTTTTATTAACATTCGCGCTAGTTCAACGTTTACGTTTCCTACTCTTCTGTTAAACATTCACCACAGGAAGATTCCACCCCAGAGAATTCCATATTCTGAGCGCATCGAAACGAGTTTCGTCAATTTCTAACGAGCAATAATTCCAATCAGAACTCCCACAACTCCGGTTCGAATAATTCCACTCTACAAAAGATGCTCAATCTTCTCGTTACCGAAAGTGGACTTTCCCAAACTCTCGATTCTCAATCTCCCGTCTCTGGCCAGCGTCGAGGACTCAATTATTCCTTCGCAATGATCGAATCCTGCCTGGAAAGTCGAGATGAGTTCGCGTTCGCGCACAGGTGAACCAAGAATAAAAAAAAAAAAGAAGAACCATTGTCCAGTCTCCCCTATGCGAGACACTATCGAAGTTCTTTCGCGCGTTGCTTAATTCTCGTCTCCTTGGTGGCAAATTACACCGAATTGTTCTTTTTCGACTTCGTGTAGGTCTCTTCTTTGTGCAGGCCTTCGCTTCTTCGTTCTCGTTTCCAGGTGTAGCTTCTTCCTAGGCTCTCCTTGTCGCAGTCTCTTCGCCGAGGAATCGTTTCCTCGGTTCCGCGTCGCCTTTTAAGTCGATTACGCGAAAGCTCCAAGTCAGAGATGAGCATTACGCTCGCCCGGAGGTAAAACGTATACAGAAAAGAAAACGTCGAGCCGGATGAAAAGCGAAAGAGAGCGCAATTGAATGTAATTTAAATGGATTGCTGATTTTCAAATTAATGGAAAATATAAACGAGATCTATTTTAACATTCTAGAAAAATGTTGTTATTTACGTCGCGTTTCGACTCTTCGTTTCGAGAGCTCCAATTTAATTTAGATACGATGCAATCATCCCCTTCGAGCGAGACTGCCGATCGAAAGCGAGCACAGTGTTTCCCGCCCATCTCTGGCTTTCTATCGGATACAAACGGTAGGAATGCGGGTGTAATACTGTTAATTCTACGTTACGGCCTACGGTACAGGGAGTAACTCTCTTAAAATCACTAGAAATAATACCCTGACGGACTCCCGTTTGGAACGAGCGAGAAATACCACGGTAAACTATCGAGTAAAAAAAAGAACAATAAAAATCGAAGGTACAAAAATATCTGATAATAAAGTTACGAGGCACGAATGAACGAGAATGTTCGATGGAATGTCGTCGCTATCGGCTACCCTAAAATCTATGTTGCTAAAATACTTTGAAATACCCTGTGGTTCCGTTAATATTAATCCTTAAAATCTAAAACGCTCGCGGATGCACGCGCGGGGAAACGTCAGCGCTTGGACTGGGAGCTGCTCGAACATCTCGCGGGTATTCGGGAATGTATCGTTGTCGGCGACTCGAGGAATCCACTCGGAATATTTTCGGAATCGCTGGGAATTTATTTCGAATATTTTCGTGGTCCACTGGTGCGAATTTCAAAAGAGCTCTCAAGTTAGCGCCATCGATCCCATCTCGGAATCTAATAAATTTGGAAAGTCCAAGCACTTTATTAAATCGTTAAATTAATCGAGTATCCGATGCTAATTTTGTTCAATATTTCTTCCGTGGTGCATAGTATTTGTATTTAATATACGATTAAGAATACAAGAACACGGTATTAGAAGAAGTTAAGAGCACCTGCGTATCATAATATTCGCAATAAATATTCATCCGCCAGCACAAAAAATATTCAAAATTCCGCGAGCAATTGAAAATATTCCATCGCGTAAAAATATCTCCGCGTTGGAATATTCGAGTGAAAAATGAACAGTCCCAGTCCTGATGGATCGCCGTGGACGCCGGTGGCCTCTGGATCGCGAGAATTCGAGCGATGATCGATAGCCGCGGTCCAAAGAAAAGTTGCCCGTTCATGGATTCAATGGAACGTGTCCACGCTGCAGTTTCTTTCGCGGTGCAACCGCGATTAGGAATCGTCGAGTTCGTTGACCTATGAACTAGAGGTTCGCTCTGTCTCGTGCCGACCTACCACTGACCGATAGACGCTACCCACGTGTGGCCAAGTTTTTCTCTAATTGCTCCGAATCGTGCCCGATCGAAGCTCGCCCAAGTTTATCCTCGTCGTTCGAGGAATAATCCGCGGGATTGGAGAACCGAGTTTCTCTTCGGAGTAACGCGATCTCGTCCTTGTTAGCTGGGGAAATTTTAATAGTTAGTTAGCTCGCGGGAGCAGATGTAAAACGGAGGTAAACGAATTTTACATCTGCTCGCACAGACTAAGTAACGTATTAAAGTTCAAGGAGCGATGCTCGTCAGACCCAACAAGAACGTCATTTTGATTCCTCAACGCGAGTCTTCGGACCTGTAGTAGTATCAATCTGAATCGTAACTTAGAAATTCGGGTGGATGAGAGAGTATGGATATTTTTCTGTTACCAAGGATATAATAATTACAGAAATACTTTATATTTATTTGAGATTCATATTCTTCACGCGCTGCTACACTGCCAGAAGCCTAACCCTTTGCACTCTCAGTCACCATTCACGCAACAAACCTATCAGCAATAATGTTTCTTTAGGCTTAATTTCTTAGGAACTCGAAGTGTCGATAAAATGACCGTCGGTGAGGTAAAGATGACCTGATTTTCAAATCTCGATAGCTTAGTATTCACGGGAATAGAACGCTAAGAAAGCATCTCGAGTGCAAAGGGCAAATATTCTGATGTTCATTTGTTTCATTCCACATATATAACTATTTCAGTAATAAACTAACTGCGATTTCCCTCGGCTTAAAAATATTTCCGATACTCTTCCATGCATCCAAATCTGCAAATTTAAATTCAAACCATAATCATACCAATTACAAGACCGAACGCGACCCGAATCTCGCGACAAATAACACCCCGGTGAGTCTGCTAAACATCGACCCTTACCGTTTCACTCTCGCAAGCTCCCCCCCCCCCTGCTTGGCGTATTTAAATATTCTCGAAGAGCTTCCGGATATATATATATAAGTGATCGCGTGTGTCTGCGTACGTGTGTGTGTGTGAGAGAGAAACGTGGGATCTGGGCCTGGTGTGAGCTCTCCCTCGCGTCGGGGGAGAACGAACGCGAAAATTAAGATAAATAAACAGTGAAGAGAAGAGTAGACAGTACTCGCGAGCTGGTTGAACGACGAGCAATTAGTTGTAGGTAAATAAAGTCTGTACACCCACCTTGGTTCTGCTGGAATCATCGAGAACCCTAAAAGAAAAGGCCTTGGGCAGAGCGTGGGGGGGTGGGGGTGAGGGGGTGGGGAGCGGAGCCTTTTTTTCGCGGGGACCATCTAAGGGTCAGTGAGCTGTCGCACGACGACGCTGGGAAGCGAAATTTCCCATTCGAGAAACGCGTCCTCGAGTCGAGTCAACTTCCGGGTGGATTCTTAGTAGACTTTTAACCCCAACAAAATTAGTCCTTTTTAAATATATCAGTTGGACCTCTCAGTTTCCCTCTGGGGAACAGAGTGAAGCACGACGAATATATTCGACGTCTTGAACGGTCGAAATCTTGGCGAGTCGCGGAGCGAATTTCACCATCCAGAAACGTCGAATACGGCCATCGTTCTCGGCTATACTCGCGAATCCGAGTATAAGAAAAGTGAAAAATGTTGAGCTTGGATAATCGTAGCTGCCTTTGAATCTCGAGTTCCTCTACTCCCAACTGAAAGAATCCTCGATTGACTCGACTGCGCGGACTTGTCGCAAACGTTCTCGAGAAAACGAAAATTAAATGAGAGAAAAAAAAAAAAATGGTAAAAAAAGAGCAACGAAACAAATTCGACAAAAGGGTGGAGAAAATCGTGAATCGGAGAGAGCGCGATCTCTCTCCGAACAGCGATTCTATGGCTCGTGGCTGTCTTTTTGTTGGCTTGGTCGTGGTGTGTTGGCGGCTGTTGGGGAAGAAAGAAACGAAAAATGTGAACTATCTGTTTGTTTCGGGTCGCCAGTGTGCGTCGAGACTGTCTCTTATAGCGACACTGCGACGCGACATGGCCGTTCGGCGCGACCGTCCGATCCGATGATTGTCTCTCGTCATCACTGTCGTCGCCTTTGCCACCGATCATCGCCTTCAGGAGAACCCGTGGCAAATCTCACGGATCTCGAAGTAGAGATTCAGCAGTGCCGATTCGGGCACGTCGTGGAAGCACCTACCCTCTGGCCACTGTACGCATACTGAAACAAAAAGCAAATGGATACGTTCAAGTAAACCCGTTGAATGTCGTCCAAACCTATCATTTCATTTAGACAAATTCCTTCAATAAGTCCAGAGGTTATTTATGGGACTGGCTGTACATGAAGGAGTCTCGTGTATATACTGTGGATTTTATGCATTTATGATACAGGCAAAGGTAGTACACGCTAAATATACCAAAAAGATATGTGCACTCGAGCAAAACAAAATAAAATTAACGTTACATTAATTGGGCATTCAACATACATCATATACATATATTTTAGGCACGTTTCCTAAATTATTGTACGTCACAAATGCATAAAATCGTATCTTAAAATTTAGTAGACTTTGCCACGGATATTTTCATAGATCTCAACGTACAACTTGAAATACTCGAATTAATTCGACCCGAATCAATGTTTCCATCGATGACCCGATCGATCTTATCAACTCCATCGGCAGAAACGAATGGCAGACACTCGAGCCGCGAATCGCGTCTGCAAAAATTCGCCCCGCTCCTCTCGACACACTTTCGATAATTCCGTTACTCAACAGACGCTCCAGTTGTCGCTCCCATTAATGCAACATTCGCTGCGAAGCAGTAATTGCAATTAGCTCGGGTCGTAATTGGACGTCGATTAGACGAACGAACCGCGGGGAAGGAACCCGAAGCCTCGGTGGAAAAGCAATTCCTCCGGTGGAAAATCACGTCGGAAGACCCACCGCCGGTTTTCCAGGTGGGACGCGAGCGCTTGCTTAGCGAAGATGCTGATCGATCGGCTTTTATTTCAATCGCGGACTCAAAGGACGCCGGTTCGCGAAGTGGCGACCGAGTGCGTTTTCTCACGAAAGGAGATCCCGTGGATCACTCGCGCGAGGGATCGATCCGTGCAATAAATTATCCGCGTGTCGATATCGGCTCGCAGCACGAGATAGATTGTCTCGCACGAGGCATTCGTCTTCTTAGAGAGGATCTCCTTTCTCTTTTTTTTTTTTTATCCTCGCACGCTGAGCTTTGTAGCTCATGATTCTACAGGGAAGATGGATTCCTTGGTGGTCGAAGATATTGTTGAAAATTTGGGACGAGTGTCTACTTTTCTACGAATTTTTAGAGTATCCTATTCTCGTTGGATTTTTATAGAGAAATGCGAACTCCAATCGTTTGAAAGTATTTAGAAATAAAAAGTAAAGTAGAATTCCTATAGCCGTGTATATTAATTTGTAATACACTTAGTAGCTGATCCCAATATTTCTATTAGATATCTATTAGATTTCTCGTGCATTATTTCTCTGCGCAGCAGTAAATTTAGACGTGAAATAAAATAAATTTACCAACTACAGAATATCCCCTGATTAACGTATATTATTCTCCATCGAACGAAAGTTCTAAATTATTTTAAAACGACCAATTACCGGAATCGAGCGACTGAAATGAACGTCGAACGAATAAAATTTGCACGTTGGACGAAATTTCGAATAATAAACGACGCGATTCGTTCCTGGCAATCACTCGATCATTCGCGGTTTTCCAAGATCTCGAGGGTATAATAACTTTTTGGGATTTTGGAGAATCGCGCAAACCTTAAAGGGAAGCAATAATTCTCGCGCTTCAGCTGTTACCGATTATTCGAAATTTCATCTGGAATGGAGTTCCCTTGGCTCCAGACGGCTCCAGTGAAACCGTTGGGCGAGGAATTGACGAACGCCTCCGAGAAGATCGTATCGGAATAAATGTAAATCCCTATATATCGGTTTTTCATGAATATCGCGAACGATCGGATTCATCGCAACCCAGTCGAAACCGAGGTGCCCCCACTTCGCGGGATGAGTTGCGCGATACTCCGTATTTCACTCTATAATTTCGAACGACATTTGTAATTCGGATTGCGCCGCTCGCGATAATGGAATTTCAAATAAAAACCCTGGGAACGCCGGTTGCCCGAGCCTCGTGTCGCGAGGAACACGAAGAAATACTAGTATCCAATTGTTCCTGTTGAAAAATGTTGGTTAGAAAAGGAACAACAAATAAAATTCGAGGGCTACCGACAATTCGTATGCGCAGATAAATTGTAACGTCCATCAGGTTGAGACTAGCAATAGGACATGGCATCTACGAGATTCGCATAACATTAGTCGTTTAGATTTAGTCGTTTACTTTATACATGTAGGAAAAATCATAGCTCTCGAAGCTTTCGTGTCATTGGGCCTCAGTTTTCATAATATTAATCGTCAAAGTTTGCAAAGATGCGATGTCCTTTTGTCAGATTAAATATTCATTGTAACAACCAGGTTAAGCATCTGGATTATTGGCAATTCAACGAGTAAATATTTTTATTTAAACTACAGTTATACACAATCGAATATAAAGGGTGAAAGTTAATTTCTACGCTTGATATTAATTAATTGCATCCCCCAGATTGATCGAAGGGTGCCGAATTGACTCTCATTCGTGTCAACGTTAACTCTTATCGACGTCGATTTCTCGCGTCGATTTCTCGCGTCGATTTCTCGGTCAACTCGAGAAAGATGTTGCTCGCGACACTAGGAGATGGTGATTTACGCGCAAGTAACTGGTCCCGATTCGGGGGATGGTCAGCTTTGACGGACGAACGTCGCCGAGAGGATTGATCGGTGGATCGCGTGCCAGTAGGCTGTATCTCTCGCGATGCGGCCATAATGAAACGGAAGGTGGCGAATTATTCGTCCAACCTTAACCCCCTGGACAAGCACCCCCACAAGTTTCCAGCCAGGGTATCGCTGGCGGCCCGCAAACTGGACACGCTATCTGGTGTCCGTGGAATCTCGTGCATATCTCCGTCTAATTTAAATCTCAATTCTCTTCGTTGATAAACAACGGTTATGCACCTCCCACCCTCACCCGTTCTCGAGGAAACGGTACTATACGATGCTCCACTGGCACACATGCGATCGCCTGAATGTCGGGGGTTACCGTTTCCCAACTATTCCTAAAAAGGGGAATTTTCACGGGTAGCCACCCCCTTTTCAACGGGCGTCGTTTAACCGACACGAACTTGCGAGTTACTTTATTTTAAGCTGACGCAGTCTCACTCGGAGATCACGAGATTGCTATTCGATTGCTTCTCTTCGGGTAGATAATTTTATTAGGGCTCTCAGGGCTCGTCTTTTAATCAAACACAAACGTACCCTCTGTGTGTGTCGAAGAAATTTGTTTAAATTAAATGGTAGGTTTGAGATTTGTACAAATATGTTGATGTATAAGCTTTATTCATACGCAAATTTATAATGAAAAATTCGTTTTGTTACATCAAAATTATTATTTAATTTAGTCGAACTTCTTCAACAGACATAGAGTGTGCGAATATTTATGAGATTGGCTGTACATACATATACGATCTTATAGATAGTTTAAACGAAGGTATACGCGAACGTCTACAAAATTAAGACAGTAGCAGTGTATCGTAGAAACTGGGGCCTACATATTCGTCGTAAATTAGTACGTCAGAAATCGATTAAAATAATATCGAAACACTCGCGGTGATATTTCGGTTGATATCGGGATTACGGTATTTTGATTCGAGCTACTAATATTCCACAGTTTCCTTGTTCGCGTCCTCCAATCGCGGTCGATGGACTCTATTTTAACTTTCACAATTTTCCCTGGAAACGTCGAAACCCGTCGCGCGGACGCTGGAAATAGTCGCTTTGAAATGTTGCTTTTCCGAAATGACAGGCACGTCGCGTGAAATGTCGGCATGGAGGTTGAATGGATCTCTCCCCTCACGACCCGGGGGAAGTGTTCCAGAAAACCGGGGGAGAGGAACCGCGACCCATCGCCGCGGGAGAATTAAAAGTCATCGAGAGTCGGTGGGGCGCAATTTTCTCGCGATCGTTAGATGCGCACAGTCGTCGGAAAGAGTGCAAAGACATTCAAACGAGTCAAACAATTTCTTTCGATAATTTATTTTAACGCGAAGTAAGACATTTATTTTTCTTCATTTCGTTTTACTTTTTTCTTTCTATTTTATTTTATCGCATTTCATTTCTATGTTCTTTCTTTTACACTGCATAGAATTAATCAGATCGCCTTGAACAATTAATATCAAGTAGATAGAATAATAATAATCTAAACACAAAGCATCGACGACATTCGTTTGCATCTCAACCTTGATGGCGTTCCAAGTTAGAATTCTATTAGTAACTAATTACTATATCTGCCTTCCTAAACGAGCACTCATAAACGTGGCATTATAAGATTTGTAAAAATAGTCCGGTATAAACTGTCCCCTACTTTTTCGACTCGAAACTTCGCCGCTGCAAGTGTTTGTCTATAAAAACAGGGGGCGATTATTTTTAACGAGTGGACCGTTCCATTTCCCGTGTAATAAGCAACCGGCGAAAGGCGTTCGAAGTTGAAGGAAAAAAATCTGCTCGTTCGCGACAACGATCGGGGGTCGTGAGGGGGTGAATTGCACCGCGGCGATATCAGAATGGCTCAGTCGTATCCCCGGGGTCGTTTCATTTGCCATAATGTACGAACCATCATCGCGGATCGGAAGGGAAAATTTAATTAATTCGAGGGAGCATCGTCTAATTCCCCCGCAATATCAGATAGCGCGACCGCCACAATTTCATATCGTTATTACAGCTCGCCGCTAATTTTCGGATCAACAAATTACGGATTTTATTTCCGGACGATTCCGTCGTTGTGTCGATAGCCATCTATGGGGCTAAATCCGTTGGATTTATTGCGAATGAAACAAAGAAAGAGCAATGATCGATCTATATTCCAGTTTCACGTGTTTCCATTATTGCTACTTAACTTTACCGGGAATATAATCAAAACAAAATGTAAGAACAAACGTTCTATGCCAAACATAGATTCTGAACATTTTCAAATCTATTCCAAATTGTTTTATTTGGAATAACTTACGACGAAGGACTTTAACGGCGAAGAAGATTCTCCACTTTTACACTAATAAGTCTTCCTATTGAAACTTGCGAAAATCTCTTCGCTAACAACCCCAGTCTAAAAAAAAAAAAAAATGGGAGGAACTTACTTTGACGGTTCATCGGGGATGAACAGAATTAGTCCCGATCCAAGGTTCGAGGAAGATTTCGCTGGTAAAGAGCGTCAGCTCGAAAAATACCGATGTTCCTAGTCAACGATGCGTCAAAACGGTGGCGGGCGTCGTTACGTGTAAACAGAGGGGGAAGGTGGGCGTTGTGCGTGAAATATGGATGGAAAAACGAAGCAACGGGATGAAATTTTCAGGAACCAACCAAAGTTCTTTGAGGATGCGCTTGAATATTCACTCTGTCGTCTCTGGTCGCTCTATCCGTTGTGACGGGCGAACAAAGAAAATAGCAACACGGATGTTGAAAAAAAAAAAAACAAAGTGAGGGTGAGAAAGAGGCAGAAGAGGGACAGAGAGAGACGAAGGGACAATCGCGCATTTCCAGCAAGAATTAATCGTGAAACGCACGAAAATTACTTTCCCTCGCCACTTTCGGAGCTCTCTTCGCGATTAAAATCGCAGAGGAAGCTGCGAGGTGCAGTTGAAATGAAATGGCCGCTCAAGACCACCGAGACCCTACCCCCACCACTCACCCTCGCTTTGTCTCCCGTTTGTTTCGAGTGGAAAAACAATCAACGTGTTCGGTTGGCGTGATTTTCTGAGAGGTCGAGCAATTATTTAACGTTCTCGCAGTTTTATATATAGAAAAAGACGTTGTTTGTATCATAGATTTATTAGATTTTCGGGACGTTCGAGCCTATTCATTTTAACAGTTTGTTTCGTTATTTCTAGCGCAGTTGGCCGCGGTTGCACGGAGCCTCTAGGATGTATGTTCATGGCAGGGCGTTACGAGAGTCTACGAGAGTTTACGTGAGTATCAACCAAAGATACCATGGTACACGACATTCAAAATCTCGTGTTTCTAATTTCCAAAGTAAACGAACCTATACCCGATCGAAATTTTAAATCCCTTGTACCCAATGAAACCCGCGACGATCAGTCTAGAACAACGTGGATGGTTCAACAGGTTCAATGGTGGCATTCGACTTTTAGCCTCGGATATGGATTTACTTTATTTGCGTCGAACTCGAACTCGAAATCGCCAGGCATCGACACGGAAATTTGTGGGAAATGCCTGTCGAATCGATTGTAAAGAGGTGTTAACCCCTGGACGCATACCGGGTGCGCGTGAAACGATCCAAGTCGACCTTAATCTCGCCGCGTGTGGGTGAACGCGTGGCTTTAGTTGGCGGATAATTGCGCGATCCGAATGCTGGACTAAATTGGTGAAATTTAGTTGGCGAGACCCATGTGGTCGACAAGGAATTGGCTCGACCGGGTGGGGAATCGATCGAACGAGCACGCGTGTACGGTCGGTTAGGCGAACGAGTGACGTGATCGCGACAGCCCCTGATCCTGGTCCCTTTGCGGGAGGTTAACTGGTCAGCTGGGGGTGAAATTATTATTTTACACCATTTTTGGTGACGGGAGGTTGCTAGTATCAGAGTCAGGAGTTTAAAATTGTTTATATAATATATTGCAAAATATCTTAGTTTCGAGTAATGGTCAGACTGTTGACTGTTAATTGTCGGAATGAAATAAGGGGTGGTATTTGGAGAAGAGAAAATATAAATTAGATACCATTGACGAATTTAGAACTGTGATTATTAATATTCGAGTTCATTAGAAAGGTGTAATTTACGTAGAGAGACGTTGGGCCTTTTCGAAACAAGTGTTGAAAGATGGGTACTATTGAAAATCATAGAATCCTTCACAAATAATATTATTCGAGGAATTATACGACTGCTAATTGACAGAATTAAATAAAGGACGGTATTTGGAGAAGAGAAAATATAAATTAGATACCATTGACGAATTTAGAACCGCGATTATTAATATTCGAGTTAGAAAGGTGTAATTTACACAGAGAGATCTTGGGCCTTTTCGAAACAAGGTGGAAGCAAGATGCCAAAATCGAGCGATCACAGGGCGAACGGAAGCGCTGGAACTCGCTCACTCGGAGCGACCACGCGTCAATTAAGTGTCCGATTACGGACTAACGATATTCGCCCTATAATTAGAAACGCTTTCGTCGTCGGTTCTCTCACGCGCGATCCAGGTTATTCGAACGGTTCTCGGCTTGGGAAACACTTGGCAGCGGGCGATCGTCATTGTTGTTGGAGTGGCGATTATTTATAACCGCGACTCGTGCTCGAGTAGAAAAAGTCGCGATTAATCGATCGGGGTCCATCGAAGAGAAAATGCCCTTTCGTTGCTAGGTTTCTGTTTGAATGCAAGTGCGCAGTTCGTCTGGGTCGTATTTGGTTCACATGGCATCGATTATGAATTATCTAAATAAATATTCTGCTGTTTTTGTTGGTCTACGAGAAAATGTATGTAGCTGATTCTTTGCGGGATAAGGGTTGACGTCGACTATTTCAATAAAAATTCTGTCATTTCTGTTCAGTTAGCCGTCGACTATTTCACCGATTGCCGTCATTCAAATTAATTAGCTTTCGTCTAAAATGCAAGCTCGGTTGAACGTCAATCTCATTCCAACTCGAACTGTAATCGCGAATAGAATTCCCTGCGAGCTGCGCGAAGAAACTCCAAGGTATTCAATCCCAATTATGAATAAGTTCTCGTGCTATATGCGAAGATTCGCTCCGAGATCGACAGAAGACTTCTCCATTTCGCCAAATTTGATGCTCGAGCACGTTAACAAAACCCCGAATGAAATTACTACATTATACCGCGCGACATTCCCAAAATAAATAAAGGTAGAGAACAAGTATTATTTTCCCTCGGTAATTGACTTTAACAGAGTCGATTAATTTTAGTATATACGCCGACGTAAATATCAGCGGAAATCCAATCCGAACTCGACCAAGTTTAACGAAGTTTAACCAAGTTTAACCAATCAGTCTTTTATACGATACATCTCTCGAAACAGTAATTTGTAGTTCCAGTGATGAATTAATACCGATATTCTGGTGGTTCCTGAAGTAGCTCGGCAACCTCGGTGGAAACGTCGGTTATGTAAAGAAATTTACTTATTCGCGAACGTTCTATTATCCATGGGGTGAATCCATTGTGTTAAATTTCCGATGAGATGAATGTCGAGATGAAAATTTGGCATCATCAGGGCCAAATACGAGTACTCGGTTGCGACAAAGCGTGGTTCGCTACTGGCCGATCTGGTAAGCCGGATTAAGTCGCGATTTGAATGGGGTCGAGCAATGGAATCGTGATTAGATTTAGATTAAAGCCAATTGCCCGGACGATAGGATTAGAACGAGACCGCGCGATCTCGAGGAGGATGTCGGCGCAGCGATGAATTGTCCTCGATGGCCTCGCTCGCTATCTGTTGATACCAGAACCTCCGCGGAAGATAGGATCCTAAACGAAATCGACCCTCGACGTCATCCCTTGCCCTCCCAACCTCGAAATTTGTCGAATACCGAGGTAACTAAAATTTATAGGACGTTTGTGCATTCGAGGTACTCGATATTTCGAAAGAGCGAATTATTATTTAATGAACGTATTAATTATTCTGCAGGAATTGCAGGAAATATTTCACATTTTATTTATCATTCAAAAGTATTACCATCGGAGTCTACTTTATACTAGTTTCATTTTAAAATTGCACAGGACGCACGCTGGAGTAATTATTTTTAATTCCAACCAACGCGTCAACTCCCCAACTCGCATCGTAGCGTAACAAAAATGATCAAAGACAGGTCCCATTGAGATCGTACGTATTTTAGTTAGCAAAAAGGTTGTCCTAGTTTCTGGAACCGCCCTGTACATCGTGAAGAGTTTTTCCATGTTAGAATTAATTCGATCGCGGTCGAAAGGGGTCGCGAAAAAATACGATATAAAGGAAAGGTCAAAGTTTATTTTCTTTGCGTTCAGTCCTTGGTAGGAATTTTTAATAAAAGTAATAGTTTCGATGGTTGCAAGAGACCTTACTACTTTATCGCTGGGAGAGTAATAAACTCTTTCTATACGAATTAATTAATGCATTAACGTAGACTATATTTTTTCCATTCCACGTTATACCAAAGGCTTTCCTGGCCAGACTATTATATAGATAAATGATTTTAATTTATGCGCTTGTCTATGGTTTGCCAAACATACAGACGAAGCTGACGAATTTCAAAGAGCATCAAAAATGATTTCGAAGCATCCAAAGCAATAATCCGTGACAAAGTATCTCGCCTATATCGAAATAAAGTGATAAGAAATAAATTTGGACCTACCGTTGGGTACCGTCGGTGGTTTTTTCGTCTGCACCCTCGCTGTCGCGTTGTTCACCTGCCAAATCAAGAACAGAGCATTAGACATCGTCAAAGTACTCCCGAAGAATGTCTACTAAACGATCACTCGGATCCGCGATGGCCAAGCGTTCCTCGTCGAGACTAGTCGCGCTTCCCTATTACCAAAAAATCCACAATCGAAGCGATTCGAACAAAGGAAACCACCGTTTCGAGTTTCTAAATCGCGCTCCTCTCGAGAAATGGAAATACCTCCATCGGTGGAAATTGTCTGTGAAACTGTCTCGGTGATACAGCGTGTTTCATTTTTCCCTCTTTTTTTTTTCTTTTTGTTTTTTTTTTTTTTTTGTTCCACGACAATGAGACGAGAATCGAACCACAAGAGCTCGTGTGAGAATCGAACAACGCCAATTTCGCGCGGCCACGCACGGATCCTGTGATCGCGAGCACGTCGATGGACGCATGATCGCGTACGTCGATCGACAATTCCGCTCGGTTTTCGTTGAAATTACTCCGAGGTGGGGAAAAAAAAAAGCGACAGACAAATCGCGTTTGTGCGTCCATCGTCGAGCGTACGAGCAATTCGTCGGCGGAAATGGTTGCAGCTGCGCGTCGTCGAACTCTGCTCTTATTAATACGCATCTTTGTTTCCGGTGTTCGTATATAATTTAGACAATTAGCTTTTTCGTAGACTTTTGCGGAGATTTTAAATATTGCAAAGGTTCGTTGACGTTCAGCTGCAGTTTTCGCTTGAATTCAGATATTTCTCGGGTGTCTATCGAGCGATCGATTCCGCAATTACGGCGACCGAGTGGTTCGTTCTTGTCGCGTCAGAAAATTCGTCGCGAGAGATCTGTTTCGCCCAAATTTCGGAATCGACGGCGCTCCTCGTGCTCTGAAATCTTGTCTAAATTCAAGGAATGCTTTAAGTATCGCTTATCTAGGAGCAAGCAGGGTCTCCGAGAGGCTCGAGACCTTCCAGAAGCTCAACTTTTATGAACGCTGTTTCAGAATTAGTTTCTTGAAATTTAATTCACGGTAGGAAGTTCAGAGAAAGTGGATCAGGTTGGCTTCTGGAGAAGTTTCTCGAGTCTCTTGGAGACTCTGCTTGATCGAATTCTCTTGGCCAGGAAGACCATACTCGAACGCAATGACTTTGGTAAATCCAATGACGAACGAGCTTACCTTGCTCGCGATTATAAATATATATCGTAAACGAAATTGTTTTCGAGTTTTGCGTCTTCGGAGCCAAGAACGAAAATATCTGATCGATCGTGTTAATGTCCACGATTTTTTTAATCATTGCAACGATCAATTTTCCTGTCTCGACTTGCCCAGAGATGGCTGGAATGTTATCCGAGCAAGGTATGGCGAATTCTTCGAACGAACAGTTCGATGTTTCGTTAGTTGCAAAATACATCTGTAGAACGGGGTCTGATTGGTTGGTCGATTCCCTGCAATTTCTTGTACGTAATTCATCTTCACTGAAAAGGACCTTGATCCTTCAATATCTCTATGCACATAAGATCAAGACATAGCTTTGAATTTCATGAAAAAATGTCCGATAATTCTGGATTATCAAATAGCAAACTTTTTTTCGTTTCTACTCCTTTATGTGTATTTTCTGGTGCATAATTTTTCCCTCACTGAAAAGGTCCTCGATCCTCCAATACCTCTATGCCCACAAGATCATGGGCCACTTTACATTCCATACAAAGATGTCGAATAAATCTTATCTAACGAGCAACCAACCAATCGCCATTTCTATTCACACAAAGAAAATAATTTTCGCTGAAAAAGACCTCGGTTCGACATATGTATCTCTGGAACTTTGAATTCCATAAAAAGGTAGCCAATTCTTCTATACCCAGCAACCAACCAAACATTCCCCACTCTTCGCTCGTAATTCGCCATTTTGATCCAGATAAGGGTCCAGCTCATCTCCGCAATTTCCCCTAATCGATGCGGTAACGTATCGCGCACGTTTCCCACCGTTTTCGCAATCAGCGTTTTAAAGGTCTCATTTCCAATTCATTATTGCCCCGCGATCGCAATCGGAAAAAGCAACCCTCCGGTTTCTCGGGACATTAAGAGCGATCGATCGACGTTTCTTCGGAGCTGAAAATTCCAGGAGAGCGGGAGCGCGCGAAAGGAATCATCTCGAGCGCGAAACGTTTCCCGGACTCGAAACGCAATCTCGACGTGGAAATAAAACGAAATAAAATAGAAAAAAAAAAAGGAAAAACTAGAGACAACAAACGACGCAAAGGCGAATAGACATTTCGCGTTCGTCGAACGCTACCGCTCTCCTGGACGGTTGAGAAACGAAAGGGGAGGGGGAAAAGATTAAAAAAAAAAAAAAAAATAAAAAAAAAAATGAAGAAACTGTTGCCGTCGATTTCCGATTATTTCAATTTCACGCGAGTACTTTCGACGCTGGCTGAACGAGACGGAAAAAGCTCGACGAGCTTGACTTCTCTTTATCGGCCGGCTACCCTCTTACCGTACGCTTTTCACCATCCACTCGCTGCGAGGAACGGAAAAATCACGCGTCAAAGCGAGATCTCGACGATTGGTCGTCGGGGAATTTTCGCGTCTTGCTTTTCTGCCACCTGCGTTTCCATTTTCGTGGGGGATATCGACTACTTGTCGCTCGCGACCTCTGAAGAGCTCGTTTCCACGCATTCCGTGATCGGTGGAAGCGAGACTCGCGAATGAAAATTTCATCTCTGACGTTTCCACGAACGTATCAATTTTTCCTTCTGCCACCTGTGCTCGAATCTTCGACTTATACGTGGAGATATAGCTGTACATTTTTTACACCATCCTTTCGATTTATATTTTATTTATATTCGAATCACTTCGTCATTTATTAACGTAGGAGTCGTACGAAAAATAAGCCATCAGTCGTGCTCTTATTTGACTCCTCGTTCTATTAATTATGACCTGTACTATCCTACGATTAATAGCACTGTCTACTCGTATAATATATCTACAGGGTTTCCCAGCCTAAGTGATACAGAGCTCTGACTCCAAAACTATCGGCCGAATGCACAATTTCAAATATGGAAATTGCACGGTAAAATGGGGCTCATGTTTCAGCGCGAAGGAATTTTTGTTAACTTTGTTATTTAACGTGATATGATGGTCAAGTTCCGGTACAACAGAAACGGTAATAATAAACAAAAGTTTGATCGTCGCATCAGCATTGTCTCATCGAGATATTCGATCCCGGATCATGTTACTGTCCATTTATCGTAGAGAAACTCGTGCGTTTAAGGAGATTGTTGAATTATGTTGTTCTTCACCCTTGGTACTCTCATAAAATTTCAACGTTTTTAAATGCCCTCCGTATCTCGGAATCTAATTAACCGTTTTATTTATCACGAGAGAAGATTTCCCTCGCAAATAAAATTCCTGTGGAGTCAAACTTGTTTACGCCCACTCAGGAGGGGGCGGGCAATGTTTCTACACCTTTATCGTAACTCGGAATCGCGTGACCTGTCGTGTCAACGTTTTTTGGAGGGTGCTGGCGAGTGTGCCAACAAGAGGAGCAACAGAGCTTGAAAAGTGCTGAAATTTCTACTCGCGCCCCTCGAGGGGACACTGAATCCGTAAACCCTAGGGTTCGAGTATTCGACTATTTCTCTAGCATATCTCTGTCGCCATATATGGGTGACAGTGCTTTTCACTGAAAAACAAAGACTATTAATTCTGAAAGTCAAGTGTCATAGAAAATGAATTTAAATGAAATGCTTGAAACTTGACGAAGTTACAGAACTAAATACCAAAAGTCCGTAAACAAAATTAAATCGAGGTAGAAATTTTCGAGAGTATTAGTCTGGCAGTGAACGTGTCGAAAATGAATCCTAATCGAACGTTCAGCAAGAATTATTTCGCGCCTCTCGCGACCGAATAACCTCTACCCCCAACGAACTTTCTGTTCGTGTGTGCCGTTTTCCCATTCGAGAATTGTAGGCCAATCGCCTCGATACACCATCGGCCCCCATTTGCATTTTACGATCTTGTTTCCAGCGATGGCTATTTGCTGCCGCTGTCCTGCTCGCGTTATAGTTATGGCCGGATTAAACGAACGGCGCTGCACCTAACGAGCAATCGTGTCTAATTTTCCGACGAGAAATTACGCTCCTAAGGTGTCCATAAATCGTACAATCGGATCCCAAAGCTGACTTGGCGTTACGAGAAACAGGGTTCGTGAAGTCAATAACAAATTATCGTATTTTGTTGTAATGCTTCGACGTTGCTTCAAAGTATCGCGAAGGGGACTACTATAAACAAGGGACGACTATCAATTGTGTCGTTCATTGCACAAAATCGATCGACTCCATAAAACAGAAAGTTGAGAAATGCGATGAAATATAAAAAGTTATGGTCGTACCGAGTGCTTTGATACATAAATTGAAGATTTTTCAAAAAGTCGAGTTAATCGATTTGTACTGTGAACGGGCTCAATTATCACAGAATTAATAATCGATAATGAATAATGCATCATTTTGTAGCCTGAAGTTATCTATCACAAATTTTGCGTTTCGACTTATTGATTTTTGGAGATTATCTTTCGAACCTATAAATGTTACAACTGAGTTAATTTCCACCCTTGTTTAGTAATCGGGTCTAAAGATAAATAATTCCACCAACAACGGAGCGATGGAAGATTTTGTGGCGAATAAAATGTAACGCGTGGAGAACGCTGCTATTTAATATTCACGAGTAAACAAATGATGGCCGACGAGTATCAGGGACCAAACTTCCGCTTGATACGCCAAGGACCTTATTATTAGTGAATCGAATTCGCGAACTAATGAATATTGGTTTGCATCGGAGGCGCGAGGGGACCAGATGCAAGTAACGTTGTGGGCGTCGAAATTTCGTCGTTGGAACGATGAAACATAAAGTAACTCGTCAACAAAATTTTATAATACGTCGGTACGCACAAAATTTATTTTGCTGATGCATGATGATCTTTTTCATGCATTTATGGTCCGACAGAATATGACAAATGCATGCTAAACGAAATCA